GCGGAGGGGCGGCAGGAGGGAGGCCATGGGGGCAGGAATGGCGGCCATGGGGGCAGGAATGGCCTCCACGATGGGACAGGATAGAGGGAGGGGCTCCTTGACCATGGAGGAACAGCCTCCACGATGGGCCGGGATAGAGGGAAGGACTCCTTGACCATGGAGGAACAGCCTCCACCATGGGACAGGATAGAGGGAGGGGCTCCTTGACCATGGAGGAACAGCCTCCACCATGGGACAGGATAGAGGGAGGGGCTCCTTGACCATGGAGGAACAGCCTCCACGATGGCCTGGGATAGAGGGAGGGGCTCCTTGACCATGGAGGCAACGTCCTCTATAATGGGATGGGATAGGGAGGTTCCTGATCCTGGAGGAACGGCCTCCATGATGGAATGGGATAGGGAGGTTCCTCATCCTGGAGCAATGTCCTCCATGATGGGATGGGCTAGAGGAAGGTTCCTCATCCTGGAGGAACATCCTCCATGCTGGGATAGGGAGGTTCCTCATCCTGGGGGAACATCCTCCATGCTGGGACGGGATAGGGAGGTTCCTCATCCTGGAGGACACGTCCTCCATGCTGGGATAGGGAGGTTCCTCATCCTGGAGCAATATCCTCCATGATGGGATGGGATAGGGAGGTTCCTCATCCTGGAGGAACATCCTCCATGATGGGATAGGGAGGTTCCTCATCCTGGGGGAACATCCTCCATGCTGGGACGGGATAGGGAGGTTCCTGACCCTGGAGGACATGTCCTCCATGATGGGATAGGGAGGTTCCTCACCCCAGAGGACATGTCCTCCACGCTGGGACGGGACGGGATAGGGAGGCCGCTCACCTTGTCGCCGGGGATGTCGGCGCGGCGCGCGGGGAGGCCCGCGGGCTCGTGGGCGCCGCCGCGTGGCCACTTGTGCTGCTTGTGCCGCTCGCTCGGCTCCGGTGGCGCGAAGGGCGCGCGGAGGCCGGCGGCCTCCGGGGGCTTCTTGGCGGCCCTCTTGGCGCCGGGCGGGGGGCCGCGCTCGCGCAGCGCCCCGTTGGGGGCCGGGCGCTGCTTCTGGAACGTCAGCTTGAGGCCTTCCTCCTGCGGGGCCGAACGGGAGCCGGAGCACGAGCACGAGGAGGAGGAGGAGGACAAGGGGGAGGAAGAGAAGGAGGAGGAGGACAAAGAGCAGGAGGATGAAGAGGAGGAGGAGGAGGAAGATGCCAATGGGGAGCACAAAGACGCCAACAGGAGAGCAGGGTGATGAAGAACCCCATGGGAGAGGAAGACGCCAACGGGGAAGATGCCAACGGGGAGCACGAAGACGCCAACGGGAGGGGACGAGGAGGAAGAAGAGGAGAAGGATGAGGAGGAGGGGCTGCAGGGAGGAAGGCACCAATGGGGAGCACAAAGATGCCAACGGGAGAGGAGGAGGATGAAGATGCCAATGGGAGAGGAAGACGCCAATGGGGAAGATGCCAACGGGGAGCACGAAGACGCCAACGGGAGGGGACGAGGAGGAGGAAGGCACCAATGGGGAGCACAAAGATGCCAACGGGAGAGGAGGAGGATGAAGATGCCAATGGGAGAGGAAGACACCAACGGGGAAGACGCCAACGGGGAGCAGAGAGACGCCAACGGGAGGGGACGAGGAGGAGGAAGAGGAGAAGGATGAGGAGGAGGGGCTGCAGGGAGGAAGGCACCAATGGGGAGCACAAAGATGCCAACGGGAGAGGAGGAGGAGGAAGATGCCAATGGGAGAGGAAGACGCCAACGGGGAGCACCAAGACGCCAACAGGAGGGGACGAGGAGGATGAGGATGAGGGCGCGGGGAGGAAGGCGCACTCACGTCCTTGATGCGCACGCTGAAGCCCTTGTCGCCGGGGCCCGGCCGCAGGCGGGTGAAGGCGCCGGGCTCGGCGCCGCGCGGCCCCTCGGGCCACTCGCCCGACAGCACCGCCTGGCACACGAGCTCCAGGCGCCGCGCCAGCGCCCGCTCCTGCGGGACGGAGGCCGTGAGGAGGAGGAGGAGCAGCGGCGGGAGGAAGGGCGGGACGGGGAGGAGAAGGAGGAGGCACCTTGGGCCAGTCGGGCGGCGGCGGCCGCTCCGGCGGCGGCTCCGGCGGCTGCTCCGGGGAGTCGCCCTCGCGGGACGTGGGCGGCGACGGCGGCGACTCCTCGTCCTCCTCGTCCTCCTCATCCTCGTCCTCCTCGGAGAGCTTCGGCGCGCCGGGAACGCCCGGCCCTGGGGAGAGCGGGAAGGGCGGGATGGGAAGGGGGGGCGTGCTGGGAGGGACGCGGAGGGTGCGGCGGGAACGGGAGCGGGAGGCGGCGCCGGGACAGCTGGAGCAGCAGCGGGACACAGGGACGGACACCGGGACACTGGGACACAGGGACGGACGTGAGGACATGGGGACGGATGTCAGGACACGGGCACGGACACCAGGACACGGGGACATGGGGACGGACGTGAGGACATGGGGACGGATGCCAGGAGACAGGGATGGACACCGGGACACGGGGACATGGGGATGGACGTGAGGACATGGGGACGGATGCCGGGAGACAGGGATGGACACCGGGAGGGACATGCGGACGTGGGGCTGGACACCGGGACACGGGGCCGCCGACGCACCGCGCTCCTCGTCGCTGTCGTCGTCGCAGGAGCCCGACTCGGAGCTGGAGGCCGAGCCCTTGGCGTCACCTCCCGCCACGGGCGTCCCCATGGGCATACCCATGGGGGTCCCCATGGGGGTCCCCATGGGGGTCATCGTGGGGGTCATCATTGGGGTCCCCATTGGTGTCATTGCTGGGGTCCCCATGGGGGTCATCATGGGTGTCAACGTTGGTGTCACTGTTGGTGTCCCCATGGACGTCATCGTTGGCGTCATCGTTGGTGTCATCATTGGCGCCCCCATTGGCGTCATCGCTGGCGTCATCGTCGGCGTCCCCATTGACGTCATCGTCGGCGTCCCCATTGACGTCATCGTTGACGTCATCATCGGCGCCCCCGTTGACGTCATCGCTGGCGCCCCCGCGGCGGCGGCGGCGGCG